AAAGCAAACTTGATATTGTATTGATCTTTCTTAGTACTTTTGTGAAATGTTATCATCTCTTATAATTTTGGAAAAATTTAAAAATATCTGCAACAAGATGCGCAAGATAATGTTTGTAAGATTATCGGCAGATCTTTTCGTTCATAGAATCTCGATTGCGATTAAATTGTGTATTGAGGATATTTTAAAAATCAGCGTGGTTTCGTTCCCTAGTAGGTTTGTTGTACTGTGGCGAAACTTGAAATCCATGCAGTTAAAAAATTATGTTTTTTGGGTCAAGTGTCTACATTCCTTAAATAAGTAAAAAAAAAGTATCTTATTATTAAAATGTATTTTTTTTCTATTTTGGTGTTTTAGTAGTATACAACGAATGTTTACATTAATTTTATGCTAATTGTTTTACAAAAAAAATTTTTTATCATCAGGTAGAGTGAATATTAGGCACTACAAAAATCTTAAAAATTATAATTTCTTGAGTAGTTTCTCAAATTCTGCAATACTTGTGCAGCGATTTCGTTATACCAGACATCCGATCGATCTATTAGATCCAGTCTTCAAAGTCCACGGTAAGAAAATCATCACAAACCATTCAGCTGCCTCCATGCGTAACCGTTCTTCGGACGCACTCTTCATTATAGCGTTTACCAGTTTTTCTCCTTACGTATGACGTCCCGTCGCAACATAACATGTTGAACTTTATCTCATCAGAGAAGATTACTTTTTGTTAGTTGCCTTCAGTCCAGCTTTGGCGCTTCATTTGACAGATTTTCTTAGTCGAAAGTGGCTTTTTTGCGGGTCGTCGCGTGTTGAAAGTAGTATCCCGGGAACTGTTTCATATAGTTCTAGCAGTGAATACGGTTCCAAGGTTTTCTATGATCACCATACTGATATGCTCAGCTAAATTGCATCGACCCTTTAGGCTAATGCATTCTATTTTATCCCTATAAGATGTTTTCCTTGATGCTCTTGAGCTTACTACTCAGAGGCCCACTGCTTAGAATTTATTTTCAAAAAATCCCTGACGGCAGACTTCTTGAATCCAACTTTTTCACAGATATTCCGTATGCTAAGGTTTTCTTTTCGTCAAGTTAAAATATTGCTCTTTTCCACAGCAGTCATTTTCTTAGGTTTGTTTTGTTATATACGTATATATATATATATATTTTTTCTTTTTAAACTGCATGCCTCAAAAAGCAAATTGATAATTAACGAAACCGATCATGTTTCTTCTATTTTTAGAAAATCATTTTTCAATCAAATCTTACACTTGCACGATGCATTTTCGTCATAACTGATACCTGACTACTTATCGTCCGGATTTCAATTTCCGCCACTGTATACATATATCTCACTAACTTTTATTGCCAAAGCAACTAAATTTATATTAATAGGCGTGGAACTGCCCACATTTACATTAAATTACATATGCCAAATTCGGTTTATAAACAATTATATTTGATACGGCGTGAAAACAAACGAAATTGGACAAAAACACGCCTACTTCCCGTATAGCACAATTTAAATTTTCACAATGATACGTTCATTTTCCAGTAAACAAATCAAGCTACAATTAATATACTGGAACACAACTTTGCAAACAATCTGTTTTTATTGTTTGCCTTCTCATCACTAAAAATTGTCAAAATCGGACTATAGCTGCTCAAAACCTCAAATATGTGTTCTCCAGTGCGTATAACTAACTTTTTACCGAGAATATCAGTCATTGTGTGAAATTTTTTAGTGAAAGCCGGAGGGACATCTTTTTATGATATTGGCGTGCCTTTGTGTCAAAATTCGGTACAAACGGGTCAATACTTTCCTAAGCTGTTATCCATCCATATATCGATCCATATATTATCGGTACCTTAACAAAATTTAGAGAAAATCTATTTTCAAAAACAGTGGTGTGAACATTTGCGCTAGCACTCAAGTAAATAAGTAAGGATTGTCAAACGTCCGGTTGATCTTGCACCTTATATATTGAAATATCTGGAGATAGCTTAAATAAGTAATCAGAGAACATTTCTTTCTGGTAATTATATGTCGTAATGCCAATATGTATCAACACTACCCTTGGCTTTCACACACCATCCTAATAACATAAGTTTAAGCTTTCGGTTTGTTAGTATGAAAGGTATCTCAAGAAAATTAATTGTTTATAATAGTTACAATTTTCAAATCAATATTTTTTTATTTTCTTAATGCACATTTACTTAGGAATACGCACAGAAAATTTCATAGCGGTAATTGCGTTTTTCTTAAAATTGTGTTTTCAAATTCGGTGACCAACATTTCTTGAAAACGGCTAAACCGATTAGTCCCAAATTTTAACGCGAGCTTCTGAAATATCTTTTTTTTATTAATTAATATACAAATTTTTTAAATCAATAAACATTGGTCAAATATCGTTTTTTTTATATTACTTACTCCTTCGACTAATTACTAGATTGAACAGTACTTTAATGAAATCTATTTGGTCTTTTAAATTTCAGAGACTTCTCCGCAAACCGGTTTTTTTTATTTGTTTTTTTTTTTAATAATATGATAATATGAGTAAACATTTTTGGATCATTAAGTTTAACAGTTTTCTCAGAAAATTTTCAGGAAAAGTTTTTTTTCGGCCTTCTAACTGTATATAACCCCTTAATGTATTTCAGAGAGCATCCTCTTCATATGTCGTAATACCAAAAATTTATTAAGTCGACTCAAGTTACCCCTGACTTTTATATTCCCAATAAAAAATGTTTAACTTTCGGTTGTTCAGTATGAAAGGTGTCTTAGCAAAATTAAGTGAAAATGGAATACTGCCGAAAATGTGTGAAATCGGTGCACGAATCACTCCAGCTCCCAAACACTAGCCCCATTGACTTTTTTATGCAACATTTAGCATATTTCATTCATCTTATAACAAATATAACTCATTTCAGTTAATAAACAAGATTTTAATATAAATATTTCAAACAAACAAAGTGCAGTTTTGAAACTGGCTAACTCCGTGCGATCTATAACATTCATTTAATATATTATGAGTATGCACACATATAAAATTCAATCTATCAGGTGTTTGTGTAGTAATTTTTCCAAAAAAATTAATGAAATAATATTAATATTACATATGTATATTTTCCGTATTTCAATTTCATTTAATTTTATATATGCATGCTTACCACATGCAAGGCAATGTTGGCAATTGCTTTTAAGTTTAACAAATTCTATTACTTTTATAATTTACTATAACGCAACGAGCACTAGACTATCAGTACTTGGCTTAAACTAAAAAAATGCCGCCACTATTGAAAATCACAGTGAAATAATCCACAATGGCAACATCACCACGAATATGAGTAAAATCAAAATGACAACTGCAAGATTTAAACTGTCATCAAATCCACATTTGAGCTGCTTTAAAGCTGATCAAATATTTCAAACAATTTCACAACAATAACTAGAACATGAGCAAACATCCGCTCGTTTATCTAAGTAAATATGCGAAAAGCAAGCAAAGTGTGCGGAGAAATCAAGGCGGCAGCAAGCAAACGAAGCAGAAGAGTTAAGACATATCAGCCGGAAAGTAAGCATGCCTATTTAGTAGTATTTATATAACAAAAAATAGCAGGAGTTGCAAAAAAGCTCAGCGACAATAGGTATCTGTAGTGAGTAGCTATCGCCAGCAGCTGTCGTTGTCACCGTCCCAACTTCCTCATCGCGCGGAAGCACGAGAGTGTAAAAATATTTGTTAGTCAGAGGAAAAGAGATTTATAAAAGCAGAAATAAACATGCGACATGACAGCGGATATGTGCGTACGTATTTACATTACTAAGCTTGCACACACACACACWTGCACATGCACAAAAGCTCAAACACGTGGATAAGTGCACTTGTGCGGCAAATGTCAAAAAATGATTTTCGTAGAGGCAAGTGTCGACAAAGGACCAATTCAAGTTTGAATTGGCATTGAATGCGTGCAGACATCTATGCATATAAGCAGTTAGATATATTATTTGGATATGAAGAAAGTCCACTCACTCCACACTTTCAACGCATGTCTAAGATTTGGTTCTAACACAAACACTCACATATATATGTACATATATATGTCTTTAGAAAGCATAGCAAAATATATGAACTGTGTAAATATGTGACACATGTCCTTACGTGCATTCGCCAGTATTTGTATGTCACTTAGCAAACGAATGTCGTTTATAAAATGAACAATTGAATTTGGCGAAATGACACAACCTTTGTAATGTTTACATTTTTCCATATCGCTGCACTCGTCTAAGCGAGTATTCAAGTTTTTCGACATGTGTGTACTTAAAAAGTGTGAATGTGAATGTGTTTGATGTCTTATTTGTTCCAGCTTCTTGTCACATATTTTTGCTTTAGATTGAGTGACACATATTTCAACTTAACTTTTTATTTTTGTACAGCTTTTAGTCACTTTTTGAAGAGCACATGGAATGAGACATGAAAGTAGAATGTAGGTAGAAATAAATAATGTATACATAGTACATATACATAAAAGCAAAAAATTGTTATCTTCGTTAGAGCAATTAGAGATTTAAGCTCCAGAGTAAGTTTTTCTACAGTCATGTTACGTTAAGTTTATCTGGTGGGTCAATAAGCCCCGCATATAAAAGTTTTAGTCCTTTGCGATACCAGATGAAGCTCAGCTGAGTCCATGAGAAAGCCTGCGCTCGATGCGAATTTCAACAAATTCTATGACCTCACTATCGACCCCATATGCTTACGAAGCGTGACAAGTGCACAAGAGAGTCTGCCAGCATTCAAAATAAAAACCCACAGTCGTGAAAAAGTGCAAAGGATAGGACAAATGCTATCGGTGAAAAATTAAACTTCTTATAAATTGCCCTGAAAATGTAAAATGACGTAAAAATTTATACAAATTAAGCGAAATTTATCGCTTAACCTATCAAGAAGAGGAAAATGAAACAAATGCGAACTAAATAAGATATATATAAAAATAATTCATACACACCTCCGCTGGGAATGTATAACCATCCACGCTATGCTCCGAGCCAAATTGATCATGCAGTCCATAATGTATGTGAATTTCATGAAATCGATATCTATATGATAATGGGCCGCCGGATATGTTAACTGGCGTTTGCATGCCATCATAGTTCGCAACTGTATCGTTGCCAGCCGTGAAAATGACACTATGACCAGTGTTGCTGATTAGACCACTTATCTATAAAGCAGACATTTAAATAAAAGAAAAAAAAAAACATAATGATATCAGTATCCTGCATTTCAATTTTTTTTTTTTTTTTTTTAATATAAACTCGACGGCTTCATACTTACTCTATGTTTATCGATATGTAGCGGTCTCAGGTTGGGATCGAATAATAAGCGCTGTGGTTCTAGGTTTACCGGTGATTGTCGACGCCCTTTATTACATAGCGACCACTCTGGGTTGATAAGACCCCAAAAGGCAGGACCTGAAATCAAACCGAGAGATAAAAGTAAGGAATAATGATATATGTATGTCGATATATTTTTTTTATTTATAAGAAATTTCTGGTTTTTGTTACAGTTTTATTGAAACATTTTAAATATGAAAAAAGATTATTGTAATCAACTTGTGATTAGCTTTTTTATTGTAATGAAACGTGGCCTCACAGTTTTGTTATAGGATTGGCATAAATTAATATTCTAACTCGGTGTTCCGAAAATTTAGAATTTAGTAAATCTTTTTAAAAATATTTCTCATGTTATTTTAATTAATATTTTTGCTTAATTATATAGAAATTAAGGGCATTCAGCTAATTCCAACGCCGGTGTTAAATAAAGGGCTTAATGGAATATCGCAATTTTTTTAATTTTTTGGTTATAATATATTAAATTAATGAAATTTAATTTAGATTCAAAATGTTAGCAATTCAATATTTTTAAAAATAATAATTAATCATACGCCATGATCGCCGATTCGATATACATATCATATTATAATTACTCATTCGCCATTTATGGCTATCATATTATATTAAAATTAATCATCCGCCATGTATAGCAATTCGCCATTTTATGTTATAATCACTCATACGCCATGTAAGTCGATTCCTAATATTATATAATATGATAATTAGTCATACGCCCTATACAGCCAAATTATTAAGTTATAAGTACTCATACGCCTTGTATGTCGACTACCAATTTTATATTATAATCACTCATACGCCCTGTAGTTCATGTAAATGTAGAAAATTTTATTAAAACCAGTAACTCTTTTATTTCAAATGTATAAAGTTTGGAAGAGCAGTATTTTATTACGAAGTCTCTTCAAAAATAAAGCATAACAACTTGAAATAAAATAGTTAACAGAAAAGTGTAAATAATGACTGTGAAGAAATGATAGAGTAGGTAACTAGAACTTTTGAATGTTTCAGGCAAATATGAAACTAAGTTGTGCATGTAAATAAAGGTAACAATGAAGAATAACAAAAAACAAATAAAGTTACAGTAAATGGAAACTACACATTCAAAAGGAAGCAACCGGTTTGCTTGTGCAACCTGAAAGCAAAGCACAAAAAAAAGTAAATAAATAAAAAATAAAACAACAAATAAGTAACTAAATAAAAAATAAAACCGAAAAAAGTTTGCTAAACTAAAAAATCTTGGCAAGTTAAAGTTTTGGTGAAGAAAAGTAAATAAGTAGAATTGGTTGGTGTAAAGGGAGCAGCTGATGCAATTCAAGTTAATGTGAAAATGAATTTATTTAATTTAAAGATATTTAAAAATTTATTATGAAAATACATTGTGAGGAAAAATTTAGTGAGACGTTGATTTATCTAATAAAAATTCGAAATTTTTATGGATATTTCAAACAAATTATAGATAGTACTTGCATACGTGACATAATTCGTTAGTATGTAAGGCATTTTACGAAGCTTTTTCCAAATCCATTTTTCTTGCGGTCACCAAAGAACGACCTATTTTGACCCAAGTTGTGGGTTTATGCTAGAAATATCTCAGAATTAACTACAATATAAAAAGAAAAACAAAACAAGAAAATAAGAGTTTTCTAACCAGGACGTATTGTACCCGTTACAATCAAGTTTGTAAACAATATCCCTCAGACTGACGTGTTAGTGGAAAACATTTACTTCTTCTAGGAGCTGCACTCTAGGTCCTACAGCAATTTCGTCTTCTGGATTTTGGGAAGGTGTTTTGAGCAATTTGTTATTAAATCGTTTTAATAAAACATCATAGTATAACCGTGTGAAAGTTGTGACCTTCTCCAAGTAATAGAAGTCAGAAAGGTTGGTAGTCATCACCCTTTCGCCCGATATTGTGCGATGCGGTGATTGCATTTTGTATGTCTTTCGCTATCTTGCACCGTTCCGACAATGCCGATTACGTGCCTCATGGTCTCTTCGGATGTCTATTATCTTCGCTATCTAACGCAACTTTAATCGAAGCTCTGTCAATACGATAAGGGGATGGTTTTTATGCTATTATCATCCTCGATTTGGCTATTAAAGAAGGATAGTCACTGTATGAAGCACTCAAGGGCTTTGTGATTACACCATAAGATTTATCTTCCAAAAACAAGAGTCGAATCACCGATATTGTTTTTTTCCAATTTTTTATAATCCGTTGACCAGTTCGTATCGGCTAATATTCTAGCAGTAGCCTTATTCAAGAATGCATAACATAATATTAAATTTCAGTTGCAATATTGGCGCCACGAGTTGTTGAGGTTGAGTCATTATTGCGTCGCTCCAGAATATATATTACAACTAAATAATCAATTTCTAATATACTTCAATTCAATATTAGTGTATATTTAATTTGCATGTATATTTATGCATTATTTAGGGTTGCACAAGCGTAGATACACAAGTTAGCAACAACTAATCGCGCACAAATTCCCGTAAATTTATTACAGTTCAACTTGCAACTGTTGCAAAGGATTGAGCCTAAGGCACCACCTATACACACTCACGCATGCCGGGGTCTGACAGTTTAATCAGCTTAACTGCACAATCACACACACGTACACAATTTCACATACATTCCAACACAATCCAAAGCATAATTATTGCTTTATTTTGCACATTACCAAATACAAGCGCGAAGATTTATGAACCAAATTTGTTGCCACCTCCAATCAGAAGACCAGAAGTGAGTGAAGGGCAAAAGCGAGTATATTTCGTGCACACCCCTTTCGCACAGCGTATTGCGACTGAAGTGCCTGCAGTTATGACAAATATACTACAAAATCGCCGAAGCCCCCATGTTTTGCTGCTGTGTACACCCTACCGATTGTGGGAGTAACTATGGAATATGCATAGATACCTAATATCCGTGTAGCTTTTTCCCACACTTATATACCTTTTCTATTCAGCAAGTATATGTGCTTGTTAGGGAGTAACGGTTGTAGCTGATATACACATGTAAGTAAAGGCAAAATGCCCCAAAGATGAAGCAGTTGCGGACGCGGTAAAATTTATGAGTTCAACACAAGACTTCAAAAAACTTAAGCTATACAAATATACATTCTTTAATATTTGCATGTATCAATGTATGTGTTCAGAATTTACAAATAGCTATGTATGTAATATGTGGGTATCACCGTAACTGAGATAATGTAATTGTTAGAGTCGCGGCCAAAAAGGAGTCGCTCGCCTCTTGCCAACGAAGCACATAAACAAATGCTGAAACATAAAGGCACATACACATATGTAAGCTTAGCTAGCTGCACCAACGCCTTCTAACTGAGAATCAGCGAAAACCACACATTTAATATCCAAAGGCCAACCAGTTCATTTCCGTTGCAAAATGAAGCGTTGGTGGTCAGTAAATTGGGAAATATGAAAAATAAACAAGAGCTGCATCAACAATAACAACATAACACACAAACATACATGCATACACATCCACACATAGACCACAAAAAATAGCACTGTACACTTGCATGTGTATAAAATGAAAAATAGTGAAGCAAGGAGTGCGCTGGACCAACTTGTGGCAATGCGGCTGTGCAGTGTACACATGCTGGAATGGCATCGGCAAAAGGCCACAGGGACATAAACAAGGTGAATGAGACGAGCATGCGGACTTCACCAGCACCAGCAGCAGCGGTCAGTGGTTGCTGAATAAGTCAAACCAAGCGCGCGAAGTTTTGCGGTCTATGAAGTGTTGGCAATTTTTTCTCTTGCATTCTGCCCTTATTCCGTTCCCATATTTTTTTGTTTCATACAAAAAATAGTTGGTCGCTTATAGAATGTTGGAAACTTGCTCTAAACTGAAGTGCATTATACAGTTGTTTATTTCGCTTCGTAAACACGTGTTACATTCTGGAATTATTTCTAGATTGCATTTACATTCGATATCATGTGTGTTCTAGTTGCAGTTACTTTAAATGAATTTGTGTAGAATTATGATGTCTACATTAGAACTATGGCCAAAAGTTGATTCTCAAAGCACAAACTCTTCAAACCGTCTTTCAGAATATGAACCTATATGGTCTTTACAACGAGTACAAGTTTGAGAATTATATATAACATCACTTTTTTGTCAATAGGCTATAGTCAAACTTCGATCTTACTTTGATCTTACTTTAGTTTTATACATTAGCCTCTCGTCTCATTCTAAGAAAAAATTCTGCAGAGACTGATGGACTTGGTGCGCATTCCAAGGGACCATATATCAGGAGCACAACATGTATTTTGTAAAGGCAAGTCTGTGGATGCTGTAATTCATACCATCTTTTCATGGCTTGAGGAAGCCATTAGACTTAAGAAATTCGCCGATGGGACTTTCCATGATACAGATAGAGCTTTCAATAACGTACTGTCTTTCATTAACACGTTTTAAGCGAAATTTTCCTATTCGACACAAGAAAATAATGGAACTCTTCTATAAATCATACATATATAATTTTCTTTTGCGAACTGACTGTTTAAAGATACTTTATTGCAAAAAAACATGAAAATTAGCCTTAAATATTGAACAGGATTCAGGCAGGGGGTAAGTTTTAAATTTAAAAAAATTATTGAAAAAATGTACGATATCGAAAATTTTGTACTTGGACTAGATAGGAAAATACTTGAAATAGTTCTGCCACCCTATTCCGCAGTACTCAGCTAAGAAAAAAATAAACGGTTAAACATTATTTTCTTTAAAACCATCGATTTGTGACACATTTTTCACTGTATAAAATTATGGTTAATTCCAAACTTAAATTTTATTAAATAGCATTAAAGCTCAGGCGATTCTGCAAATATCTAAATTTTTAGATTTTTTACAAGCTCTAGTTCAGAAGTTATAAGCATTTTTCTATTCGGCGGCTGCTTGCTACATGCTTCTAGTCGCCTGGTAGTAATCCTGGAATTTGCTGCCAAATTGAGTGCAATTTTTATGCAGCCGACAGCGGATGCACCCAAAATCTTGCTGCTGCGTTGCATATGCAAGGGGCAAAAAAAGAGGAAGCAGG